ACATTGCCTGATTATATACTGGACATAAAAGCACCACTTGTACCCATCAAATAATTCAGGGGTCAAAGAAAGAAAAAAAAATTAATGACTCATTTAGTTTCCTACCCTGCAAAGTGCCTGTTTCCTTGGGACACAGACTCTCAAGATCTAATTTAGAGAACCTAAAATTTACTGTTCCACTAGCCATTCATGTTAAAAGTCATAACCTCAAAACAAAAGAAAAAACAACAAACCTAAAAGCATAAATAACAGAATCCACATCATTTTCAACTGCATCAACACTGACCACTCTTTTAACAAAATGCCCCATGTTATCTACATCAGTGCTGGCCGTGTCTGACTTGTCTTGACTCCAGAACACCACAACCACTGTTGTGAACACCACGGATGTTTCTGAGTTGTACTTTTAGTGTTCTCACCAAAGGTATTATTATACTATATTATATTATATTAATTGCTCAGTAGGGGTTTCTGGGTCATCCCCCTATATTCTTTTTATTCCTCGATCAAGTTTAAGAGAAGTATTGTAAAACAGACTATTTGTTTTGCATTTTCTGGAAATCCTACAGGCGTGAGCCTGTTCTAGGGGAGATGGATCGCACACAGAAGACAGAAGTGCTAAATACACTGGAACTGAGAACATTCATTTCTGTAAAACAAGAATACATAGCACTGCAAAAATACTCTCAGCTACTCATCTTCCTAACACAGCAGCTTCATATTTGAGGAGGCTTACTGGAATCTGAAAAGGGATCAGTCTTGAAGAGCTTCCCAAAATTACCTAGTTTCATAAATATTTACTAAATACCTACTAAAGAGAAATTTCACAAAGTTTCAAAAACTTAAGGATATACTTAAGATAATTCATGTGAGCATGCCAAGTCCTTTCATATGGTACCTCAGAGTGAGCAAGCAGATAAAATGGAGATATTTGAATGTGAATAGACTGTAGGAAGACACTTTCTCTGGTACTCTAGACTATTTATACCCTGTACTGACATAGGCTATCTAAATAAAATAGACTTTAGGCATCTATGTTTCCCTTCCAACAGCAAATATAGAACTTGGGAAAGAAGTGAAAGAAGAGCATCCAATTAATAAAGAATCTGAAATAACTTTATACAAAAGCCTAAAAATAGGCCTTTTAAAGATATTTAGCAGAAAAAAAACACCTTGATTTTTTTCCTGTGAGTAAAACTCATGCTCTAACAGCGGATGTGCAAGAAAGTAATAAATTCAACATCTTCATGAAATGTTGGGTTAGTAAGTAACTGGGGAGGTCAGATTTACTATCACTACACTCAGATTGCAAAAAGAAAGATTTTCCAACTGGAGGGAAGGGAAACATGAGACACACAAAGGCATTTCTTATCCATCATTTTGTGGGAAGGCTGGGGGGGGAGAAGAAAGAAGTATCTTAAATATTAATAACAAGAATAACAAGGTAATAAATAAAATTATTTAATAATTTCATTGCTGACTATTCTGTAAAATGACTAATTGAATCTGCCATTGAAAGAGCGCTCATGTGTCAAGGTATTTGGCTAACGACATCACTGACAGAGAGCTTCACTATTCCAAGATAGAGAAGACACTGTCTAGTTCCTTTATGCCTGTTTGAAAGGAATTGTTGCACTAGTTCTGTCCATTCTTACTTCTCTAGACTTATCTTCGTTAAGGAAGCAGAAACGTGGCTCAGGACATAATACACATACACTTCTCACATGCTACACACTGGCAGATTATGGGTTCTTACGACCAAATAACCTGTAACCTGACAAAACTGTTTGTACAACATCTGTAATGCAAATAAAATGCTCAAAAGCAAGTTACACATTGTAAAATTTTGTTAAGTAGTGCACAAGTTAGTGAACATGGAAGAAAGAAGGAAAACACGGTCAGAAGTTGATAGATAAACTAGGTTACAGATTCACAGAACTTCAGATAGCGTTCAGAGCAGGTTGTGCTGTCTGCGGATTTCACACCATGCCACAGGTGAGGTGAGTTGTCCCCACTTCTACCAGGGGTCAGTTTACTGCAGCTTAGTGAGCACACTGGTCAGAGTAATTTCGTATGCTTGGCATCAATACTCCAGTTTACTTCATGCACTGCTTGGTACTTGACAATACAACAGAGACTGTTAAAAAGCTTATTAATGGTAATATATATTTTAGTTTATATTACAACCAATATATAACTATATGTAATAAAGATATAAATTGCAATTACTATGTAACTTTTTATGACAATTGAGGTGCTCATTTTTGGTCACTGTCATGAACTATTTAAGAAACGGTGAATTTTCTTGCATATCATTTTTATTCATGAAATGTAAGAGCCAACTTACCCCCCCTCTACTTTATAAGCACCAAAAATATAAAATACGATGTGACAGAATGAAATATCTTAGCATACTGAAGATGCACACTAACAGCACCTGTAGAGCAGGCTACAACTGCTAAGTAATTCCACATTTCACTGAGGATACAGCTGCTAATGCAGCCATTTCCACCAATTCAATAGTCGGACTATGTTTTTGGCAGCAAATGTATGCGACTTAATAGTTTTATTAAGTTTACTTGTGAATAGGTGTAGTCTTTATTGTCTTCGGCCTGTGTTTCCCATTTTATATGTTTGAGAAGTTCTTCAGTGCCATATTCTAGAGCAATTCTGACATTTAAAAAAAAAATTAAAAAATATTTTTACTTCTTAATGAAAACACTAAAATTGATTTTTATTCAATTCTGCTCATTTTTCCCCACTACAGGAAGAAGCAGGTTTAACTGAGTATCTTTTAACTATTTTGGTAATTCCACAAAAGAACTATATATCTACACCCCACCTTGCCACCTGCCTATTATATATTCATGCGCTTTTACCCTTCAGTAGTAGTGCTCACCTCTTTTGAATTATGATAGCCCACAAGCTAACAAAAATGCCAGGTCAAGACTGCTGAGTATCCTACATAAAGATAACACAGGAAAAATAGTTATCATTGTTTTAGTTGGAATATAAAGGTTCTAGTGGCAGGCTGAACATCTTTCATTAACAGATTAGCAGACTGAAGCAGAATTTTAAAAAAACCAAAACATTTCAGGACAGTTAACATATCTGTCAACACAGTAGTTTCAGATCTGATGAAACAGAATTTTCCAGCTTTCAGCTTTGTGCCTTTACTGTTGCACTTCATATTCATAAAAAGTCATGCAGAAGGTCATTAAAAAAAAAAAAAAATCACTTTTACTCACTAAAAGCTATTTCACCTCTCCATTTCTGAAGAGAGGAGAAATTAAAATTTGCGGTTATACAATTATGCAAAAATGACAAAATGGCTGAATAAGCATTGTTTAAAAATATTAACCATCTGAGCTAGTTGACAAGTTCTACAGAATTTATACAAAGCAAAGTTTTAAAATTAACAGAAGTTTTTCATTACTAAAAAAGAGCTTTCTGTGAGATACTGATCTCTCAATGCACAGGAAGATGTTCAGCAGTAAAATTGAAGAGATCTTTGTTAGAACTCAGATGAACACTGAAGTCTGTCTGATAGTACCCATTAGAAGTCACCCTCTGGGAAGCTCTTAAGGCTATGATTCACTTAGCTTCCAGTTCTTTAAGAATGTTTCACTGTACCCCAAAAGCACTGGTTTATATTTCACACATCTGTGTTCGTAACTTCCTTCTTCAGTACTCAACAATATAGATTACAGCTGAATTTTCTCCATTAGTTCCCTGCCTGAAACATGCATGGAAAAGGTCAGCTCTAGCAATCTTCACAAGCTGTCCGAGTGCTTCTGTATGCCACCATGCGTACCCCCCTGACAATATTTATGTACCCAACAGAGAATGAGAACAGGTATTCTAAAATATTTTGTCAACAAGCTTGCTCACCTGACAGGTCATGAGGAAATAATACACCAAGATGTTAAAATGATGCGATCTGATTTTGGAAAAAGCCACTAGAAGGGGGAATTCTGTAAAAATTATCATGTTGGCATGAAAGCCAGCACCTACTCCTCAACAGGTTGTGCTTCTGAGAGAGGTCCCCAGAAAGAATACCTCTTCAGTAAGCTTGGCTTACTGGGCCATAGGTAATTCTAGTTTTCTGCAAAGGATTTAATATTCTGAGAGCCAGGAAAAAAAGCCTCCTATAAGGGAACTCTGAAGCTTGGCCAAAAACATTTTTCTTTATTTTGCTTCACTTACCTTGGGGGAGGAAGTGGTAGAGGTTAGGAAAATGTTAAAGCCATTAATACTTTCTAAGCCATTCTCCCTACAATAAAAGTTAATGTATGAAAACAAGTGCTTTGCAAAGATGACTTTGCAATGAGAACAACACTATATTTTGTTTGACTGGAAAGAACACAGAACTACTCTCTTAGAAAAGGAACACAATGGAAACAAGGGTGAATTTTTTCCCCAAAAGAGCAGGTTCCCTCTTCTGAGCCTCCACAATGAGAGATAGTTAACACAGCACCACAACGGTGGAAATACCCTTGGAACTACAGCCCAGAAATCAATTCTTTCAGGATGATTTTCAGTATGGCATGTCAATTTTTTTTTTCTCTTCTATTTCTAGAATTCTGTCAGCTCAAAGAAGCCAAAGCAAATAAACTCACCATCTCTTTTGCATTCTTACAGTTTTATAAAATCAAAGTCAGGTTTCTGCAGCTATACTAAGGTGTTAACTGCTCAAGTTAGATAGAACTGCACAAAATCTGCAGAAACTTGATTCAGTTGGGGTCTGCACATATATACAAAAAACCTTTTATTTAAATAGAACAAATCCTGTACTACAATGCAACTACTATGTTTTTACAAGAGGTAGTTAGGTATTTGGTGTCTCAGCTTGGTTTTGTGTAATTGTATCATCTACCCACCTACAAGACATTCTCTTTAAAGAAGTCTTAACGTATCACTGAAAGACAAGCACGTTTATACGTCTTTTTAGAATGCATAAGAAGGGAAAAAGGGGAGGGGAAGACTTTCTAATAACTTACCGAAATATAGGAGTATGACCAGGCTTTGGTTTGTTCCAAGTAAAGTGCGAAGGAACAGAAAGAAATTGGTCTCCGGGCAAATCTTTTTTCAAGGTGTGCTGAGATCCAGAGCAGTCTTCTACTGCAGTTTCAAGGGACGACGATAAGTTACCCTGTTCTTCAGGACAGATATCTATTTTTCCAGGTAAGGTGGCAGTCTGATCCTCTGAAGTCTTTCTTGTTTTTAGAGGAATATCAGTCTCTGTACAACACTGAAATGGTGAAAGGCCAGAATTAAGGCCTTGTACATTATGGATGGAATTGTTTAGCCACGTGTCTTCTGTTATGCTTCCTCTGGGAGAATGGCCAGGTGATGGAGTTGGAGAATGGTGAGGTGAGAGAGAACCAGCATAACAGATCTCAGCACTGGAGTGTCGCCGTTTCCCACAGGGGGATGTGGGTCTTGATGAGGGCCTTGATGTTGGTCTAGGGCTTAGCCAATTTTCATCTGTAATACTAGTTCTAGGAGAATGACAGGGAGACTGTCTAGGTGACAAGGTATGCCCAAATCCATAAGGCTGCTGCCACGATTCATCACTGGGACCTCTTGGAGAACCACCAGGAGATGCCAAAGGAGACCCAAGGGTAAATCGAGCAGCTGCTTCATTTAGCTCTGAGTCTACGTCATCATAAACATGGGAAATGGACTCACAAGAGGAAGCATCTGAAAACCAGCTTCTGGACGAAATGCTGCTGGCAGGACTTGGACTAAGGGATGATTCCCTATATGATGGCTCAAGAGGAAGATAGAGATGGTCCCGTGAAGGCCTTTCCATGTACTCATTTTCTGTGCCATTTGTGTGCAATTCATCTTCATTGGCTTCAATCCCTTGATGACAGTTAGGTGAAATAGATGTAATTTGAATACTAGGGCACTCAAAGGGTTTGGGTCCACCTAGTGGACTGTATTTGGATTCTGGTACCTCACAAGTTCCTTCATAGTTCTTATGACTCTGAAGTCTTGTAGGTGGTGACAGAGGAGAGGAGTGAGACTGCAATCCATGGCGAGGAATACAAATTGGCTGATTTACAGAGGATGATGGTTGGTCTACATTAAGGATGTATATAGATGCACAGTCATCTGACTCAAGATCTGAAAACAAAATCAAGAGGGGAAAAAAAAAAAATGGTCAGAATGCAACACTTGAAAAATGCCATAAAATCCTTATTTTCCTAGGTATGACCTGTTTGCAACATCCTAGACATTTTCCATTACACTAGCCACACAAAATAGAGCAAATTCTTAATTTTAAGTTCTCCCCAGCCATATTTACTGCTAAATATGACTAAAGCACAGGTTTCTGTAATAAAACTTGTTGCCAACTAGATTCCATAGTTTATACACATCTCCAGTGTTTGAAAATATAATACTTACAGAAAATGGGTTTAAAATATTGAAAGGATTCAAACTGGAACACTCAATTCAAACTTTATCTTTTATAACTACAATCCATTTAGAATTAAACATTTTTTAATCAGAATCCATTAAAAATTCAGTCTTTTTGACATGAATAGGACTATGATACTTTGTGCAAGCTCACTACTCAATACTACAAGCACTGGAATATCACATATGTAATATCTACCTCCTTTAATACCAGAAAGCATCTTAAAGTGACTCAAACTTTAATGAAGATTACAAATTACTAAAAACATTCAATCAAAAGAGGACTAACAAAGAATATTATTAAAGATACTATGAAGAAATTTATTCCATAGATCTTTTTTTGGTTGTTTAGTAAACTCTCAAGTGTCCATGTGACAGAACAGCGTTTCTCAAGTGCAGTCTCACCAAGTTTGAGCACAAGTTGTTTGGCATTAAAAAAAAAAGCAAAACAAAAGCCAGAAAACAAAATATTCTCAGATCTGACTAACTTATCCAAAACACAGGAAATATCCCAAAGAAAAATAAGCAATTGAGAGGGAGTGCAAATCCAGTCAAGAAAATCAGCAACTTTGTCTCACAGAACTGAAGCAGATTGTCTTGCCCTGCTTCTCAATATTGAATTAATTGCCAGTAAGAGACATTTGTCTGAAACTAGCAGAAAACACAGCTTTTTTTTTTTTTTCTTATTTTGTAACCACTATGCTTCTCCTCTTGTTTCTTTCCCCTTGCAAAATAGAGCCTTCCCTCCACTGAGTAAGTATGCAGGAGGCCTCAGGTAGTTCACTAGTCTATCATCATCTCCGAGCAGATGAAACTAAATGTCCTTGGGCTGTCCCCACTGGACATTGAAACCAGTTTCAAAATCTGTTAACAATATTATCTCTACAACCTGAGTAATTTGTTTTAATGCTGAATCAGTTTAAGAGCTTTTGAGCCATCACTAACATTTAACGTCATCATTAAAATGATGCAGTTTCTGCAGCTGCATGTGGGTTTAATTTTTTTTTTTCAGAAGTAGGGGAATACTATGCAGAAGCATACATGCTTCCGCAAACTAAAATACTGCTGTGTCAGATGTGACAAAGAGACACCATGTTCATACAATCATTTTCCATAAATCCAGACTGAATATCATTAATTGCATCTTTTGGTATTAGCTCTGTGGTTTTTTTTTTAAAAACCAACCAACCAAAGAAAACCACCACAGTTTTTATCTGGAGTATCAGTAGAATGTTAATAGTTGTTTTAAAATTAATCTAGTCTCTCTCAGAATCAGATAAAATACCCAGACAGGACGCCACGTATTTTAGAACTTTCCGTGGTGAAAAAAAATTAGCGTGTTAATGAAGTTACTTTATCATCAGTTTCACTAATAGAATAGTTTCACTTAAAATTAACAGAAATAAAACAAAACAGCTCCTCCTCAGAGGCAAGAAAGCATTTTCAAATGGACAGAAAACACACTCTTACCAAGGGTCTGAATATGTTCCTCAGACTCTAAAACAAAAAAAAGATTGGCTGAAGACTCATGAGCAGGGAGCAGCTCTACTAGTCCTAAGTAGTTTTATAAGCATTGCGTGATTTTATATATATAACAGAGTCATATACAACAATTATGCCTACTATATAATTATATCATTAGTTACTATTACGTGTGTTAAAAGCACAAAAAATTAATCGGTATAGGTTGATTTCTAAATATACATACACTAAAAGGATCCAGATACTCAGAAAGTACTTACTATTTGTGTATGTCCTATGAGGACAGACAGAGAGTTGTGGCTGTTCAGTCTGGAGAGGAGAAGGCTCTGAGGTGACCTTATTGTGGCCTTCCAGTATCTTAAGGGGGCCTACAAGAAAGCTGGGGAGGGACTTTTTAGGATATCGGGTAACAACAGGACTAGGGGGAATGGGGCAAAGCTGGAAGTGGGCAGATTCAGGCTGGATGTGAGGAAGAAGTTCTTCACCATGAGAGTGGTGAGACCCTGGAATGGGTTGCCCAGGGAGGTGGTTGAGGCCCCATCCCTGGGGGCCTTTAAGGCCAGGCTGGATGAGGCTCTGGGCAGCCTGATCTAGCGTGAGGTGTCCCTGCTCATGGCAGAGGGGTTAGAACTGGGTGATCCTCATGGTCTCTTCCAACCCTGACAGATTCTGACCTGTTTTTGCAGAGGACTTGGTAGTGTTGGCTTAATGGTTGGACCCGATGATCTTAAATGTCTCTTCCAACCTAAAGGATTCTATGATTTTCTATGATTCAATGTATCATACAAATCCTTAACACAAGCTCATGCCAAACAATATGAAAACTGCATTTCCCTACCCTTCCAGTAGGATAGCAAACATTTTTAAACACTTTTAATTTGAGGTCCTTCTTTTTGCTGTTTCCCATTGCAATGGGAACATGGCATGCAGACACCGGTCTCCAAATCTCTCGGTGCATTCACATGCAACATCATGGATGTCCTTGTTTCCTAACTCAGTATCAGTAATAGTAGCATAGGTGAAGGAAAGAAAAAGGAAATACTGATAAATGTAATTATCCAGCTACTCAAAACTTAGAAATAAAAGTTACAGGAACAGAAATTTTGAAATAGTAATAAAAATGTTACAGGGAAACAACAGCTGGAAGTCTTCAAGTTCTGCGCATAACCATTTACTGCCACTAATAGCTTTTGGAGCAGTAGCAGCACACTGTTTGTGCTAAAATGCTAACCATTGCAAAGAGCCTTATTTCTCTTGCAGGAATAATCACAAAATCTTAAAATATTTAAGAGAAACTGTCCACTTTCAATGTCACTGGGATTTACCAAAAGCAGACGTATATTCAAAATTTAAGCTTCATGGAGCAGAGGTGGAGAGATCAGACTAGCACAGAATTACCAACACCAGCTGGGAAGAACTAGAGAAGAGGTGGAGAAGTCAGGAGAGCTCTCTTCTGACTCAAGCTTCTTTGGTCCCCCTCCCCAACAAACAGTTTCTGATGAGTTCTGCAACGTGCTCTCCCATTACTCCTCCCCAGCAGTGCACACACGCATGCGCTCAGAAAACAGGAAGCTAGAAGCCCAGAGTAAGAACTGCATCTAATGAACAACAAATCCCCAAAGCATGCTTAAAACTGTGGAAACAATAAAACAATATATTGTGAAGTCTAAATCACCTAAACAATTATATTTTTAGTTCGCACACACAAACCTTCTCCTTTATAGTCATGTGTTAAAATAACCTGTTATTTGCTCATACAAAGGAAAACATTACCAAGACCTTTACAAACCGTGTCATTAATTCTAGTTGACTGCTTACTGACAATTATTTTTCTCCTAGAAAAGACCATAGAGAGACTCCAATATGGAAGAGCCCTCTAACCCATCTGAAGAAACTAGTCAACATGCAAAGATGAATATAACTTGGGTGACATAGAGGAAAAAAAAAAAAGAAAGAAAAAACCCCTTAAAACATGAAGGAGTGAGAATAAATTTTTTAAAAACCCAGTGCACAGGTTCAAGAAAGTAAAGGGTAAACAAACTGAGGGAAGTCTCACAAGAGGCAAGTGCAAGGCAAATAAGTTACAGAGAAGCCCAAGGCAAAAGATGGAGTTGCAGAAATCTGGTTACTCAATATGAGACCTATTACATCCAAACAATCCTACTGGGGGAGGAAAGACAGTAAAGAAGTTAAGTTGGCCAACTCGTGAGGCCTTCATTTTACCGTAAAATAGAAGAAATAAGCATTCAAAAGAAACTAGGTCAGATCAGTAAAACAGAGGATAAAAACTACCACTAACATACGAGAGCGTGATGGTAGATAGGACAGGCACAGCAAAATACAAAGACTAGGAGATGCCGTTCATATCAAAAGCTTGCTGTGACCCTGAAAAGGCAGGTGTGTTAAATGTTTTTTCTTTAGTAAAATCAACTGAGTAAATTGCTAACAAAGTTAATAGCAATGCAAAGTAAAGAAAACTGGGCTAAATAAAAGGTTAAAAAGTATGGAAGAATTATAGACCAGTAAGTTTAACCTACGTTTTAGAAGCTGCATTAATAGTTTATTTGTTCTAGTAAGCATTTAAAAGGAGATAGGGAAACAAAACAAGAAGTGAATGTTTGCTAAGAACAAAACTGCATCAAACTTCCCCCTCGCCCCAATCAAAGGAGGTCTTCTGGATAGCTAGCATAGAAAGAAACTCCGCTTTAACTTATTCAGCCTGTTGACACTACCAGGCATGGAAAAGTCACCAAGCCTTTAGAAATGTAGCAAAGCCCTCTTCCCCATCTTGCAGAGATCAGGTTTAGTACTGAGGGAAGCTGCTCTGTATTCACATAGTGCAAACAAGCTATATAAAGCTGCAGACTTCCATTGCAATCTTCTGTCGGGTGACTGTGTCACACTTTGTCAATGAGACCCAGAAGGTCTGTTGTTTCAAAAGTACTTTTGCTACCATCTGGAAACAGACTGGTTTACAGAAGCTCCTGCTCAGTATTAAAACAATGCCGGCTCATCCTTTACTAAGCTGCAAACTATTCTTCTAGATAAGCTAACTGGAGACTATAGTTAAATAATATCCAGAACAACTGCTCCTAACATACATTTTAGTTGCTCTTTGCTGTATCAAACTGCACTTTCAGGACTAGTTATGCTTGCCCACCAGCTGTTCACTTCCTCAGCTGTGTACTGGCACATGCATGTGTCCAGCTGCACAGTGAGCCAGA